TCATGTTGCTAATGCTGCAGAGCTACAGGTTACTGACCAGGAAGAAGAAGCTGGAACTGGCTAGCCAGAAGTGGCGTCCTCCGTGGCCGTAGATGTTGAAGTCCTCAGCAGAGAGGTGACTGTCTGGATAGAGGATCTCTAGTGTGCCCTAAAATTAATAATTAAAATAAAAAATAAACATTTATTTGAATGCATGAAGGGCACAATGATAAATAAAGAATTTGTAGCGCAATGTTATCATTATATATCTGTAAAAAAAAATGTGTTGATTTGATCTCTCATCATGTGTTGTTACCTGTGTGATAGAATAGCCTAGAGCCAGCACAGCAGTGATAGCCAGCACACGCTTTATGCTGGATTTGCTCTCCAGGTGACCTGACAAACACAGAAAGAAAGAGGCTTGACTGAGAAACACACCGTGTAAAGTCATGGAAAAAGGAAATAGACACCACAAAGGTTTAAAGTTAGAGTGTGTAGAATTTAGTGATATCTAGTATTGAAATTGCATGTTGCAGCTGAACACCCCTCACCTCACCCTCTCCTTCCAAACATGAGAGAGAACCTGTGGTAGACTTCAGTTGTTCTAAAAACTCAAAAGGTGTTTAGTTTGTCCAGTCTGGACTAATGTAAAAAACATGGCGGCCTCCATAGAGAGGGTCCCCTCGATGTAAATATAAAGTATTTGAATATAAAGGGTCTTTTCTGGGGTAAAGAAAACTACAATTCATATAATTTAGATGAAACAAACTAGAGAAAACATCATGAGAATTATTCTACATTAAATTTCTGCCAATAGTTCCCTTTCACCTAAATCTTACACACTGGACCTTTAAGTAAAAATAAGAACTGAAAACCACATGACCAACTTACCGAAAGCGAGTCCCAAGATCACAACGCTGAGCTCAATAGCCAACAAGAAGAACCGGGTGATTTCCCACAGCACCTACAGAGACAACAAACATCATGAGAATCCAGTGTGGCAAAGACAAGTTGTGCTGTCACACACGATGACCAAGAACACATGCTTTACTTTGCAGAAGAGATTACACAAAAGACTATTCAATTACACGTTTGCTTTTTTCTTCCAACAGGGCGGCCATGAGAGAGGGCTGTGAGAACATTGTGTCCATCAATGTGACCCTCATAGGGACCTGTCTGGTATGTGAGGAATGTCAGCCATGCTTTTGGCGTTAGACATGAAAGCTCTGCAAAGTCATGCTGCAGTTCATATCACACCCTCTGGCTACTGCATAAAGGAGACATCTGTGACAGGATATGGTGACTGCTACTTCAGCGAGGGTGAAGAATGTATGCTGCAATCCATCACACACAACACGAACAGTATTAGATAGAAGACAGCATTTGATTGAAAACCCTATTAAGTTCATACATCAAATAAATACGATTACTTAGAAAGGAATGCCTCAGTTTAAACCCATTTTCCCCAGATTACATGTTCCTGCAAATGAAAATCTTGTCACTGTCGTTTGCAGTAAACTTGGGAATCTTGTGATGAGTTCAGACAGGGATATGTTCCCAGTAACAGGGAGTGAACAGTATGAACACAGTCCCTCCAAGTATTCAAAATAAAACACGTATACATGAAAGCAATTTTTAAACAGATTATAAAATCAATGAATCTCTATAGAAATTTGAATAATTTGGCAAGAGGAAAACTTAATGCAACATAATGAGAATAATGAGTTAAACTAATAAGCTTATTATTATAATACGCCATTTTCGTATCTCTATAAATAAACCCTAACCAGTGATGTTTTGAATTATACACAAACCAGATATACTCACGTCTAGTATAATCAAAGGGATTGATTTAATCTTTTGTTTGTTTCTGTCTGATTGTAACTAAGCATTCAGCTCTGTTTTACAGATTCATTTGAAAACAAACTGACCTGTCAATCTGTTTAAAAGTGACAGCAGGCACCAATACTGTGCTTCGAAATTTGGCAGTGGTGATATTTTGATTTCACTTTTCATTTATGTATGTAATTTACATGTACAGACTTAACCCCCCCCAAAAAACCTTTTACTTTTACTTTACTTTTCCATGCTTACTTTGTCTATGATGGTGGCAGCACTGGATGCACTGACAGTCATGGACACTATGGCCCTGGCGATTCCCACTGCTGCTACAACAAAAACCTAAGAAATACAGGACACAACATGTCAGACGTCTTCTACTGTGTTCTTCTGAAAGCAATAAAAATGGATTAGAATCACAGGCTCAGTATAAATGATAGCAACAATGCACTGTTTAACGCTGGTGAGAAAAAACGAGCAGTGTTCCTCTGTTGCCAGACACAGCAGTGCTGGGGTATCTCCCTCTCTAGTGTCTTTGTATGTTATCACAGGAAAGATAACCTGCGCAGACAGATGTAGTACATTTTGGAAACAATATTGTAAGCACCTGTCATGGAGATGGAACAGATTATCCAGCAGAGCAGCATTAAAGAACCTTAACAGTACATTGTTCATTTGTCTTTGCTGTAAGGCAAAAGTGAAAGTCACTAACAGGTGCATTACCACAAAGGAGTTTTTTATAGGAAAGTCCAAATTTCCTCTGAGTTTTGTTCTGACATTTCAAAGAATAGAATATCAACAATCACTACTGTGCAGCACAATTTCAAGCTTGATTTTAATTCTTGAACTGTTATGCCGCCAGTATATACACCCTTCTTCCAGTACCACTGCACTTTGCTCAAGTACATTTCTCTACTAATAATATTTGTGTCTATATAGATATATATTTTGTACATATTCTCAGGTAACTCTATTTCCTATTTCCTATTTTTTTATACTTTCACATGTTCTCTTCTCTTCCTCTTTTTTACTATCTGCTGCTGTAACTGAGAATTTCCCTGGCATGGTATCAATAAAGTCCAGCTTATCATATCATATCTTAACTTGTTACTCTGAATACTGTATATTGGTGTTTGTGTAGTTTGTTTCCTACCAGCAAGTAAAAGGTGACAAAGATGGGGCTAGAGGTGAGTCGAATCTTTGCCCTGGCGGAGGGCAGCTTCCACATCAGGAATACAAAGAAGGCCACATTAGGCACGAGCAGTAAAATGTCCCAGAACCGAACCCTAAGACAGAGAGATGAATGTCAGGGGGCAGACAGTGTTGTGCAGACTGCTGGGAAAAGTAATTCAGTTGCATTCAGCATTAACTGAAAAATTCCCTCTCCAGTATTTTATGCTTCTGATTACCTGGAGTCCCCGATGTCCTCGTACAGAACTTGCAGACATTTGTGAGGCTTGGTGATGTTGGCTTCAGGACTAGGTCTCCAGGTTGGCAGAGCTGAAGTGTTCTCAAACGGCGTAGGCGTAACACTGCCATTGTATTGAGCAAACCTAACCACAGCTGTCACTGTGGCTAGCATGGTGTCGGAGACTGAGGGAAAATAAAATAAGATATTCGTTGGAAGTGATTCCTCACAGCAGCTGAGGCAGTAATGTTACTACACACAAGAATAAGGATGGCAGAGGTTTTGGGAAAGAGCTCAGAGACTCTGGAACACAGGTGGTGCCGGTATCTTTCTTTAAATCAAAGCTTAAAATGTACTTTTATCCAACAACAGTCCCCGACACGTTTATTTGGAGAAGAGTTATATAATAAATGTATTATTATGATATTTTTTCAACCATTAAGGGTCTCCTCATTCAGGGGGAGGTTTATCTTATGAAGTGTGGTTTGAAAAGAGAGAAGCTCATTCAGGGACAAGCTTCTCTGAATTCTAAGTGAATATAAAGTAGATCATATAAGCACAACACACAGATTTAGAAGACAGCAGGAGTCTTGTGCTCTTGAACCACGGAAGGTTCCTGTCACAGCTTCCACCACTGGACAAACATTATGTAACACGACTGGCTGCCTTCTGAGCTCTGTGCAGTGTTAACACAGTCAAACTAATCTAACGCCAGCAGCATTTACTTACACGGATTCTACATGACAACGGGAGCACACATGACTCCTTCATGTGATGAACGACAGCACTTTCAGCTCGGGATTTACAGATGCTAGCTAACGCTGCTACTTCCAGGTTGCTAGCTGTGGTCAGCAGACATGTTTTCAAATTCAAATCCTCCTTGTGTTTGTAACGGAGACAAACACAGCAGCGATAGAGTTGTTGACAGTAAACACGGCTCAGTAAATAACATTAGCCACCACGGGCTCAACATTAGCATCAAAACAAACGTGATACTAGTGCAAGTGCAGTGACGCCGAGCCGACGTAACGACTGGTAAACAAAAACAACATCTTACCGATTCAGCAGGACCGAGATTCAAGGCAGCGACGTGTTGGGAAAGGTTTGAAGAAAGTGTACAAGTTCAGCGCATGCTCACAGTCTGTGCAACCGATCGACACATCGATCACTGATATGAAACATGGCTGTTCCGGATACTTTCGTTCACACATTTCTCCTGCATCAGCTGACACGCTCCAGACAAGCGCGCCAAGTCTCGCGAGACTACACTCTGACGTAGGGGTTCTTTCAGAGGCTGTCTCATAGTGAGTATATTTTTATTATTTATTATTTTTGAGACACATGTTGAATATTTTATTTCAATTTTAGTTAGCCTTACAATTCATTCATTTTATTTTTTTTAATTTCTTTGTTGTTGTGTCATTTCTGTTGTGACTAATAAAGATAAAAAAAGACATAGACTGTATGTGACTCTATCCATAGACAAAAATGTATTAATTTATCATATAACATCTTATTTATTTATCATCATTCCTTTTTGTCATGTATCCATTGTTGTGAGACCTTACGTTTCTATTTTTATCCATTTATGTGTAAGCAATAAAATGTTTGAATACATTTAAAAGCATTAAAAAAAGAGACAATGCGAGAGTCACATCTCCCAATGATGTAATAATATATACATGATGATAATAAATTATAAGAACTTGCAATCTCTTCATTCATTTATTTGTGTGAGAAATAATAATGACATTTCTAGACAAATAATTTGAAGCACTGTTTTTTATTATAACACAAAACAACCAAAGCAGAAATAAGCAGAGGTTCCAGAAGAATTTATAAATTTATAAATTATTTGAAATGAGGGAAGAGTTTTTCTTCTGTCAAGACACATCTAACGGCTCTAACATTCGGTCAGTATACAATTCAGATCTGATTCTTAAATATTATTACATTGTTGGTCAATGCAGCACATTTACTGTGAAGTAAACAATATAGGTAATAGAAATGTATTAAGAATAAACAGTGACACGGGCTTTTGGGTGCCCTGACATCATCCTGTACGCCAGGTGTACTGGCTCAGTCAGGTTGGCCTTAAACGTGTACACATGAGTCTTCCCGCTGATGGCGCTGATGTTGTAGAAGCTCAGCCTATGGGTCTTGAAGCTGAGTTTGATCTCCAGTTTACATGACATTGAGGTCTTCTTCAGTGGCACGTTGCGACCCTGCTCAAAGGCCGTCAGCAGGTTGTTGAACCACATCAGACACCAGGAGCTCCGGCTGCTTTCCAGGGCAGAGGGCAGCCCGGTGCGTGCCAGCTTCCCACTGTAGCAAAATCCGATGATCCATGGGGAGCCTTCAAGCTCCACCTCCCAGCTGTGGTCACCTTCAGAGAAACTCTGAGTGCTGAGGACCTGGAAGAAGTTGGTGAACCTCTGAGGGGAGGAGGGGTAGGGCTGTTTTGTAGGGCTGAAAGTTACCGTCTTCAAGTCCTCTGAGAGAACGAGGTTAGGATGGGCCGTTTCCTGGTCAAAGGTTACCTCTGAAGGGTTGAGGGCGCTGTGAAGAGAGCGCTGAATCTCTCCAAGTCTTTTCCGCAGCTCAGCATTCATGTTTTCCAGCTTGGGACAGACTCGTGCAGGGTTGACTTTTGACTCCACATAGTCTTCCTCTTCACCCACTGGTTTTGCCATTAACTCTGCAATGTGCGGTTGCAGGCTTTGGAGCTCGTCATTGAATGCAGTCTCATCTTCTTCAGTCAACAGGGATTCAGCTATGAGCATTGCCCGCCTCAGCTGCTTAGTCAGCTCAGAGGCTTTACTGACTCGACAGACTATCGTGGCCTCACCTGGACCTAACTCCTCCTCAATGATCTGCGTCACCTCCACAACATAGCGTTGTGACAAATCCTTTATCTGCTCTAACAGTTCGGATGAATTCTCTCTCAGCTGAGTATTAGCAGTGGCCACCTCTAACTCCCGTTCCTTCTCTTTCTTCAAAACACCCTCTGCCATCTCCAACTTCAGGTTCAACTCTGTGACCTGAGACGCCAGTCTGAACTTAGGTTCATCCATTTCTATTTTGCCTTTTTTACTGCTTTGTTCTCGGTCCACAGGAAGAGTATCTGAGCTTTCCTGACTCCTGACTGCTACCTGGCCGACGTTAGAAGGGCTGGCAGGGGAGCCAATTTTCACAGCAGTGGCTTTGTAGGTCTCCACCATGCTGCACATTTTGAAGCTTCTCACGAGGGCTGTGGTTCCCTGATAAGATGCCTGGCACTCAGGGCAGCTGTGTTGGTCAAGGCCTTCTCCCATGGTCTGGAGGCAGGCAAAGCAGTAGATGTGACCACAGGGAAGAGAAACCGGCACAGAGAATAGCTGCAAGCAGATGGGGCAGGTAAGCTCCCACTCCAAAGCATCTAGATGACTCATGTTAGGAGGGGTTGCTTCAGTCCCACTCAGAGACATGGGGTCAGGTACTGGAAGAAATGACAACTCATGGTAAGACTTATTAACTAAAGAGTACTTAAAAATAACACACACACACACACACA